CACAGACACACATGCCGACACAGAAACACAAACACCACCACACAAACACACGTGCCAACACACACACACACCACCGCGCACACAAACACACACCCAAACACCTCCCAGGTTCCGACTTACTGTTAGGTAAACAGAGGCGTGTGGAGTAAGGAAACTTGCCCAACATTTCGCCCGGCCGGGAATTAAACCCACGTCTCTCGCTTGTGAGGCGAGTGCACTAACCATTGAGCTACAGGACTTTATATACCCAGCTACAAATACCCGCTATACACACATACTCACACACACACACACACACACACAACTAAATGTACTTTCACACACCCATAGATATACAAACACACTTAGACTGAAAGCCGAACAATCACACACAAATGGTCAAACCCCCCCACCCACACGCTAAAAGCACTTCACAGAAGCACTTCACATGCTAATCCTACCACAGACAGACACAAATACACATGCAAACACCCACCGCACACACAATCACATAGACACAAGCAATCACACATACACAAACACACGCACGCACATCCACATAGACACACTTAACCATACATGCACAATCACACAGACCTACACGCACCGTCAGCTGGTGAGCTTTCAGTCACATTGCCCCACTGCTCTCTGGAAATCTCTCCCTATATCCCTCCACCTCTCTCCTTCCCACTCTGTTTTCAAAACCCACCGAACAACTTACCTCTCCGACTGTGCCTGAGGCCATCTCCCACTCAGCTCAGGTTCCCACTCGGTCTCTGTAAGGCCTCCTGATATTAAAGGCATTGTATGTGTGGGCGTGGGCAGAGGCAGATTAAGAAATCCGAGGCCCCTAAAATAGATTACATTTTGGGTCCAAAAAGGTTTGGTCACTCGGTGGGTGTTTGTGTCCGTGTGTGGTAGTATTAGCGTGTATGTGTGGGTGGGGTGTTTGACTTTGCAGGCCATTGCTGTGCGCAATTGACTGCTGCAATTCGCCCACAAAATACACTTTACAATATATTCTGTGACGTGCTTTGAGACGTCTCAATCACGTGATAAGGCACTATATCAAATGCAAGGATCATTAAACCATTAGTATTATGCACACAAAGTATGCAACAATCCCTTTTTACAGATGACAGACACATGTTGATATTTAATAGATTATTATCCCCAGAAAGCGATCCGCCAATGGACTGACAACCTGGTTCCAACTTACCGCTAGGCAAACAGAGACGTGTGGAGTCAGGAAACTTGCCTAAGGTTTCGCACCGCCCGGGAATCGAACCCGGGTCCTCTCGCTTGTGAGGCGAGTGCTCTAACCACTACACTACAGGACTCCAATGTGATCATACTTCAAGTGTGAATATTTTAATCAATTAAGGAATTTATCTCTCAGCCTGCAACATCTTGAACTGGAAGTGAGAGCGAAAACAACTGAGCCAGGCTGGTGTCAATTTAACATTATTTCCTTGCCAGAACCCATTGTAACATCCTCTTTGCTAATTAACATGTAGGTAACACAGGAAAGGAGACTGGAAGGGAGTCAAAAACAATGTTCGTGCGTGTGTGTGTGTGTGTGTGGATGTATGTTAATCTATATTTAACCTGAACAAGAAACGACACATCAGTCAGGAACGACGCACGGAGCTTCAACCTTTCCGGGACTGTTGTTAATTAACCGAATGAGTAATTCTCTCTGCGCTGTGGGTGTTTGGGGAGCAAATTCAGTGTTAACCAATTCCCTGGACGCTCCAGTCTCCCATCATACCTGAGGCCTCGCCTCCTCATTCCTGGAAACAACCCAGAGCATCTAACATCTTTTTCAAAACAAATAAAAAAATAAAAATATGATTTGGTCACTCAGTCCACGACTGTTTGTGGGGCACTGCTGTGAGCAATTGGCTGCCATGTTTCGCCCTGAAAACACAGTCAATTCATTTTACAATATATTCTGTGAAGCTCTTTGGGTGAAGCTCTCAAGGACATGATAAGGGGCTATATTAAATGCAAGGTTTATTACTATACATTTATTATATCATCTAACACCACAGGGCACCCAAAACTACACACAATAATTTCAACTGTAGCCAACGGAGGTCTTAGTAATACATAATAATAATAATGCTTGCATTTAATACATCGGGAGAACGTCTCAAAGCGCTTCACGGGATTTACTGTAAAATGTAGTGACTGTGGATTCTGTAGGCGGACTTGGCAGCCAATTTGCGCATAGAATGTCCCACAAACAGCCATGAAGTGAGTGACTGATTTGATGAGGGTTTGTCGGCCAAGAAATTCTTCCTGCGTTCCCCTTACTTGTACAAGTCAAACGCTCCCACCTCTCTTTTGTATTCATTATCTGTTGATATAAACTCAAAACATTCACTTTAATTGTGGCCTCAACTCTAATCCCATTCCCCTGTTCTTTCCCCATTGTGTGATATTAATATTTCAGGAAAATGCTTGGCAGGACTAAAACTGGATGAAATTTCTGTCTTTTATCTGCATGTGTCCCTGTTTTTTAAAGTCACCAGTTTCCTGTCCCATCCCTTCCGCGCCCCTCCACACCCCACCAACCCACACACTCACTCACTCACTCAAAAAAATAACAGCTAGAGCTTTGTTAAACCTCCAATAAAAGCAGAAGTCGCTGGGAACACTCAGCGGGTCAGGCAGCATCTATTGGAGAGAGCAAAGTGAGCTAAAGTTTCGGGTCGACGGCCTTTCGTCAGTTGTCGTGACTTTTGTTTTTCCCTTTCAGCCTGTTCAACTGACAAAAGGTCATCCGCCTGAAATGTTAACTCACTTTCCTCTCTCCATAGATGCCGCCTGACCTGCTGAGTGTTTCCAGCGACTTCTGTTTTTGTTTCAGATTTCCAGCATCTGCAGCATTTTACCTTTTGTGTATTAAAGCTGCGTCTTCCTCCCTCCCTCCGTCCCTCCCTCCTCCCTCCCTCCCTCTCCTTCCTCAGGGCACAGAACATTTCTGAGCTTGGGGACTACAATGCGTTGGATAATTCCATAACATGTGGACTGGTGCCAACTTCCAGCACATATCAGCTACACTTGAACAAATATTTCCTCTGCAAGTTTAGTCCCAGGTTACACAGGAACTGCCAAGGCTTTGAGCCAACTGCAAGCATGACTCCGGCTCTAGGCAAACGCTTTTCCTGAAGACGAGGTAAGTCTGTACCAACTGCTTTCACCTCGACATCTGTTTTTGGGGGGAAGTAGCAGACTATAGGATATCAATATTCACAGCGCACAAAGAGAATGTTCAACCCTTCGTATCTGTGCTGGCGCTCGCTCCCCCACTGGAGCTCTCTGCTCTAAGCCCATTCCCCTGCTCTTTTATATCATTACTCTTCAAAAAGTCCCTTTAAAATGTTGTAACTGTCTCAGCCTGACAGAGACAGTGTGTGTGTGTGTGTGTGCGTGTGTAGGGGGGTGGGGGGGGCGAGGGGGGAGACAGACAGAGTCAATGTGAGAGTGTGTTTGTGTGAGACAGAGGATATAACAAGAACAACTTGCATTTATGCAGTGCCCTAACATCGCAAAGTGTGTAGATGTTAAGAGATTGAGCCTGTGTGTATGATTGACAGACAGGGGAAAGTTTGTGAGAGAGAGACAGACAGAGATTGTGTGTGCGAGAAACGGACAAGAGACTGTATTTGTGAGAGACAAAGACTGTGTGTGAGAGACAGAGACTGTGTGTGGGACAGAGGTTGGTGGGGTGGGGGCTCAGGCTTCCCCCCAGTTTTGTGAAGGGCTTCGAGATGTATTCCCAATGTGAAAGGTGTGATACGGTCCTCTCTGCCCCCACACTCGCATGGTCCCTTCGCATCGCTGTAATAAATGTCATTTTGTTGTTGTTGTTGTTGTAGCGATACAGTCCCTCAAACAAAATTGGTCACTCAATCCGCGACTGTTGGTGGGATATTTCCGTGCGCAATTGGCTGCATTTTGCCCATAAAATACACAGTTAATCCACTTCACAGTATATTCTGTGAAGCGTTTGGAGACGTCTCAACGAAGTGATAAGGCGCTTTCTCAAATCCAAGGATTATTATTATTCTATAAATATAAGGTGTGATAAATATTTATGACACAACGATGTCCCAAAAACAGCCATGAAGTGAACGACCAAATTACCTGTATGATTGTTGGGCAAACTCCCCTTTCTCTTTTCGGGTGGTGCCACAGGATCTTTAACGTCCACCTGAACATGCTCAGCACAGGCAGCCAGATGGGACCTTGGCTTAACGTCTCATCCGAAGGAAACCTAGGAATCCTCTGGCATGGAGACTTTTAAACACGGGTCGCACGCCCAGTTGACCAAAAATAAAAGGACTTACAGCAGTTTGTCTCCCATTCCCGGCAAAAAACATTTTCTTGTGTAATTCCGACAATGCATAATAATAATCCTTGCGTTTGATATGGCGCTTTATCACGTCTTCGAGAGTCGCAAAGCGCTTCACAGAACATACTGTAAACTGAATTGACTGTATTTTGTGTGCACAACACGGCAGAGGATTGGACACAGCATTGTCCCATAAACAGTCATGGATTGAGCGACCAGATTATTATTAAGGGATTAATACCTCCGGTCCCATGTACGCAACACACAGGAAGTGGCATAAGCAGCAATCTGACAACCTGGAAGTTAGCCATTTTGTAGAGAGGGAAGGCGGCTTGTCACCGCCAGAAGACAGACTCATGTACTAAAAGTGAAGCCACGTTAAAAATGGAGTAGGGGGCGTTATAAAGGGGTGGCCCTGTATTATTTATTATTATCTCCTTGTTATTGTGCTCGAGAGCCATCTCAAGATGTACCTCTTTGACCGTGCCTTTGGTAATCTTTCCCCTCCCCACCTCCCTTAGCTCCCAACCCCAGCCCGGGTGCTCAGCCAGCAGTGTCAAGTGCTTTTAGATGCCCTCCCCACGACATAAAAGGCGGATGTAAATGGGAAATTGCATTGCGTTGTGTTGCTCTGATAATCCCGCTTTTTGTTTTGTAGCTCATGGGATCTGAACAGGTGGAAATGGGGAATCAGGGGGAGCAAGAGAATGGAGGCGAAGGCAGCCAGCCCAAGGAAGTGTCCCATCAGAGTCCAACCACCCACGGCTTGAGCTGGTACTGCTGCTGCTCACGGTAGGTCAGTGACCCACATCCTCCAACCCCTCCTCCCTCCCCGTCCATCTCACAAAAAAAAGCATGTTATCTTTCATTTTGCCCTCAATATCTACAATCAATTCACTTCACAGTATATTCTATGAAGCGCTTTGAGGTGTATGAACGATGTGATAAAGGGCTATATCGAATGCAAGGATTATTATTACTATTTCAGATGAGCTGTGTTGACGAGATTTGGGGAAATTTACGCTGTATAATGTAATAATCCCTGGCTCCAAACTGGCCGACTTCCAGATGATCAGGTTGTTGCTGATGTCACTTGCTGTGAGCTGTGCGCATGCACACGGGAAGTGCCACAAGGACAGAGTGCACCGTCATTTTTGTACTAAATGAACGCTGCAGCCAATGCGCGCAGAGCAACGTCCCACAAACAGCCATAAAGTGGGAGATTGTTGGGCAGGACACAGGGAAAACTCCCTTCTCTTTACGAGTAGCGCCACAGGATCTTTAACGTCCACTAGAACAGGTAGATGGGACCTTCTCTGTCTCTTTAACGTCTCATCCAAAGGACGGGGCCTCTGCTAATGCAGTTCACCACAATACTGCACTGGAGCGTCAGCCTAGACTGTGAGCTCAAAGTCCCAATGTGGGCTTAATCAGTGCTTTCTATACTCAGTGCAGCTCCCAGCCTCTGGTACCCCCCTCCCCCTCCCAAGGGGACACTCCTCCAGCTCCGCTGGCTATTTGCTGGGAGGAAAGAACAACAATAATTTCCATCATGAGCTCCTGACAGTGGCAGAGCACGAAGCCGAGCTGGGGGGAGGTGGGAGGGTGTGACCATAGGTACTCTCGAAGAGGAAGGTCTTCAGGCACAACCTGAAGATTGGAAAGAAAGGGGCAAAGTGGAGGGATAGAGGAAGTGTGTTCCAGAGTTTTGGGGCGTAGTAGCTGGAAGCGTGGCCACCAATGGTGGAACGGAGGGCATGAGGGACATGCAGGAGGCCAGAGCCAGTCGAGCAGAGGCAGCCGGTTGTGAGTTGGGGAGTGAGCAGGTCAGAGAGGTATGGAGGGATTTGAGAACGAGTGTGAGGATCTTGAAATCAAAGAACACAGAAACTGATCTTATATAGTCAGCTTCTAGGTAAAGGCTGGTGGAACCCGGATGAAGGTTGAACAGATGGACAGGAACTAAAGGTTACTCACCCTTGCTAAGAATTGCAAGTCCTCTCCCTCCACAAGCTTGGCTAACAATGTCATAGAATCATAGAATTATACAGCATAGAAGGAGGCCATTTAGCCCATCGTGTCTGTTCTGGCTCTTTGAAAAGAGCTATCCAATTCAATCCCACTCCCCCGCGCTCTCCCCATAGCCCTGCAAACTTGTCCTCCCCAAATAATTATCTACGTCTCTCTTAAAAGCTGCTTTTGAATCGGCTTCCACCGGCCTTTCAGGCAATGCATTCCAGATCCTAACAACTCGCTGTGTGACAAAATTTCTCTTCACCTCCCCTCTGTTTCTTTTAACTATAAAAGATGTAATATGTTACATTTTCTAAGCGGCTTTAGCTGGTTAGACTCCAGCAGTGTCCCATCGCACACTCTGGGGTCTCCAAGCCTTGGCACTTGCCAACCTGCTCCAAATGCTTTCCAGAATTAGGACAGCGGGATGTGTCCCTTCAGGGAGAGAGTGCGCATTCCATTCCAACAATCTAAGGAAATTTACCTAAGTGGAGTCCTGTAGTGTAGTGCTTAGAGCGCTCACCTCGCAAGCGAGAGAACCTGGGTTCAATTCTCCGGCGGGAAAAAACCTTAGGCAAGTTTCCTTACTCCACACGCCTCTGTTTATCGAGCAGTGAGTCAGAATCTGGTTGTTGGTCGATTGGCGGATCACCTTTCCGGGGATAATCCGTTCAAAACATTTTTAAAAAAAATAATAGTCTTGTCACTCAATCCACGACTGTTTGTGGGACACTGCAATGTGCAAATAGCTGCAGTGTTTCTCCCACAAAATACACAGTCTATTTACTTTACAGTATGTTCTGTGAATCACTTTGAACCGTCTCGAAGGTGTGATAAGGCGCTATATCAAATGCAAGGATTATTATCATTATATTCTGTGAAGCGCTTTGAGATGTCTCCCTCTGCTCAGCGGGCTCCAGCCTGCTTCATGTTCCCCACCATTGGCGGGTGGGCCTTCTGCAACTCTGCCCCTACCCTTTGGAACTCCATCTCGCAGTCCCTCTGCCTCGCCCCCTCCCTTGCCTCCTTCAAGACCCATCTCAAGATCCTCCTCTTTGACCGTGCTTTCGATCTCCCTGTTTGCCACCCTCCCTCCACCCTCTTCAATCCCGACCCCCAGCTCAGGTCCAAAACTCTGACTGTCCAGTGCCTTGGGACGTCTTCCCGACGTGAAAGGTGCTAAACAAATGTACTTTTGTTGTGGTGGTTGTCTCAAGACATAATAAGGCGCTATGTCAAATGCAAGGATTATAATTATTATAGTTATTACTAAGTTTTCACCCCGTCTGGGTCCTCTCACTTGCGAGGCTCTGATACTTTACAGAACTCCACAAAGTCTTATGCTCCTGTGTAATCATCTTATCTTCCAGCTTCGCTCTCAGGAAAGAAAACGAAGAGGACAACAGCACGCAGCCGGCCTTTGAAGCGGGTGCAATAGAGGACAAGTTAGAGGCCAAAACTGAAACGCAAGTGGTGGTCACGATAGAGACACAGGCAGAAACTGTGAAGGACCCAGACAAAGTAGACATCCCAGAGCTCCCAGATGAAGTAGACATCCCAGTGATTCCAGACAAAGTGGACACTCCGGTGATTCCAGACAAAGTGGACACTGCAGTGATTTCCGACAAGGTTAATACTCCAATGGAAGCTGAAATGGAACCCAATGTGGAGGCCACAGAACCCACGAAAGAGAGGCAAGTGACATATTTTTTGTTCTATTTAATGAGACCTGATTAGCGAGCATTTTTTCAACGGGATTCAATCATAATCCCATTCGGGCGAGAATGTTAAACTGAAGTCCCATTGTGTGCTTGTATAGGTGGACGTTAAATAACCCGTGGCTTTATTGGAAAAGAGTTTCTTCTGGTGTCCTGGCCAACAATCCCCCAAATACAATTGATCACTTACTTCATGGCTGTTATAGGACATTGCTGTGTGGAGGTTGGCTGCCACATTCTTCCACAAAATACATGGTCATTACACTTTATAGTATAGGCACTTCTGAAGCGCTTTGAGACACCTCGATGACATGTTAAGACGCTGTTACAAATGCAAGGATTACTATTATGTTAACAATAATCTTTACATTTGGGAGAGCACGTTTCAAGTCAGGAAAACATCCTGAAATTGTGTGTTTTATGGGTGAATATGGCAGGCAATCTGCACACAGCAATGTCCCACAAACAACCGTGAAGTGAGTGACCGACTTTATCTGGGGGATTGTTGACCAGGACACCGGGAGAGAGAAACTCCCTTTTCTTTTCTGAATAGTGCCAAAGGATCTTTAACATCCATCTAAACAGGCAGAAGGGACCTTGGTTAATGTCAACAACAACAACTTGCACTTACATAGCGCCCTCCATGCAGGGCAGCATTTCAGAAATCTTAACAATGGTGGAGCTTGACTCCGAGCCGGTGGGGGGGGGGGGAGTGGGAAGTGACCGTAAGCATGGTCGAAAAAGAAGGAAAAAGAGGAGAGAGGGGGCAAGGCGGCAAGGCAAGGGGAGAGTGTTACAAAGTTTCGGGGCGTAGTGGCTGAAAGTAGGACCTCCAATGGTGGAGCGAGGACAAGTAGGAGGCCGGTGCAAGTCGAGCGGAGGCTCCGGGTGGTGGATTGGGGTGTGAGGAGGTCAGAGAGGTAGGGAGGTGCCAGGGAGTGAAGGGATTTGAACACGAGAGTGACGATCTTGAAGTAGATCTGTTCAGTGATGGGGAGCCAGTGGAGCCTGGGCCAGAGCCGGTGAGATGTGGGTACGGACTTTGGTCTGGGTCAGTATGTGGGCGGCAGAGTTCTGAATAAGCTGGATTTTTTGAATAGTGGAGCTGGGGAGATTGGCGAGGAGAGCGCCTAATCCAGGCGGGAGGTGACAAACGCATGCATGAGGGGTTTTGCTGCATTTGGGGTAAGTACGGTCCGAGGCAGACAATGTGGTGGAGGGGGAAGAAGGCGGTTCTGGTCAGTGACCGTATGTGGGGCAGGAAGGAAAGCTGGGGGTCAAAATGGACACCTAGATTACGCACTGGTTCAATGAATCTGAGGGAGAGCCCAGGAAGGTTGAGGACTTTAGATCCGCAGGAGTGAAGATGTTGACAGGAGCCAAGGAGTATGGCTTCCGTCTTGTCCATATTCAGCTTCAGGAAGTTTACACACCTCCAGGCTTTGATGTCTGCCAGACAAGCTGTTAGAACATCAGGGGACCTGGAGTTGGTACTGCAGGAGGCAAAGTAGATTTGTGTGTCATCCGAATACATGTGGAAGTTTACCCCGTGTCTGCGGATGACATTGCCAAGAGGGAGCATGTAGATACGGAAGAAAGGGGGCCAAGGATGGAGCCCTGGGGTACCCCGCAGGTGACCGGGTGGGGGGGGGAGAGGAGAAACCATTTGCAGAGATGAAATGGAGGAGGTTGGTTAAGTTGGACTCGAACCATGTCTCATCAAAAGGACGGCATCTCCATCAATGCAACACTTCCCCCAGCACTGCACTGGAGTGTCTTATGGAATGCAAGTCCTGACGTGGGGCTTGAACCCACAACCTTCTGACTCAGAGCGAGAGTGCTACCAACTGCGCCAGGCTGACGCACTGTGTCAGGTGTATGAAAGACGCTTTAAGGGGAAAGGGAGCAGGGGATTGAATGGAAAGCTTGCGCTGGGAGGAGGGACAGGCTTGAGGGGCCGAATGGCCTTGATTTGCGTTGTAAATGTTTCTGGTTGCCCCAATAAAATTGTGCGTTCCCTGCGGTGTGCTGGAGCCCTCGAAACATGCTGGCAAACATGTTTTTGTTATTGCACGTAGAGGTTGTCAATGGAAAAACACACAAGGAAGTAACAGCGTGCTATCCCCACAGCTCAGCAACTGTCCAGAGAAGAGAACGGCAAGACTTCAGAATCATAGAATCTCACAGCACAGAAGGAGGCCATTCGGCCCACTGTGCCTGTGCCGGCTTTTGAAAGAGCTATTAACTAGTCTCACTCCCCCGCTCTTATTCCATGACCCTGCAAATTTTTCCTTTTTAAGTACGTATCCAATTCACTCCTGAAAGCTACGATCAAATCTGCTTCCACCACTCTTTCAGGCAATGCGTTCCAAATCATAACAACTCGCTGCGTAAAAAAAAAAAAAACTCTCCTCGTCTCCCCTTCTGGTTCTTTTGACAATTATCTTAAATCTGTGTCCCTGGTTACCGACCCACCTGCCAGCGGAAACAGTTTCTCCCTATTTGCTCTATCAAAAACCCTCATAATTTTGAACACTTCTATTCAATCTTCCCTCATCCTTCTCTGCTCCAAGGAGAACAATTCAAGCCTCTCTAGTCTCTCCGTTGGGGATGCAATTTCAATAACAACCATAGAATAATAAAAGGAATAATTCTTGGACTAGATATTGCACCTTATGACAAACTTGAGGCTTCTCAAAGCGTTCACAGGATACACTGTCACAACAATAAAAAATAATTATTTTATTTGATGTTTGATCACGCCGTCGAAACGTTTCAAAAAGCCTCGATAGATTTTACTGCAGAGTGTAGTGACTGCGTGTTTTGTGGCCAGCCAATTTGCACAGAAAAAACCGTGCTGAGCACATCATTTCTGTTTGTAGGACATTCCTGTGTGCAAATCGTCTTGTCTACAAAATATGCAGTCACCGCACTCTGCAGTAAAAAGTAACTCTGAAGCGCTTTGACGTGTTTTGAGGATGTGATCAGCCTGGCTCAGTTGGTAGACCACGCCACTCCTCTGAGTCAGAAGGTTGTAGGTTCAAGCCACATGTCCAGATATTGATCTCAGATAGTCTAGGCTGACACACCAGTGCGGTGCTGGGGGAGGGGAGGGGGATTGCTGAATTGTTTGAGATGAGACCTTTAAGCCGAGGTCCTGTCTGCCGGTTCAGGTGGATGTTAAAGATCCCATGGCACAATTACAAAAGAGAAGGGAATTTCTCTCCCCGTTGTCCTGGCTGACAATCCCTCAAATGACACCGGTCATTCACTTCATGGCTGTTTGTGGGACGTTTCTGTGGTAAAACACACGGTCACTACACTTTACAGTATATCCTGTGAAGCGTTTTGAGATGTCCTCCCGACATGAAAGGCTAGATAAAATCCAAAGATTATTATTATTATTTATTACAGTATTTATGTTCAGGTTGTCTATGCCCCCCCTCACCCCATCCGTCAGCATGGGTGGCCAGACACCATTGTCAAACTCTTTGAGACGTCCTCCCGACATGAAAAGCTCTGTATAATTATGAACTACATAATACTGTACTGGCTTCCTCAATTAAGATTCCCTTTCTCCAGTGTGAACAATCTTCTGTGAGTGGGTTTCCATGGCAAGTAGACTTGTAACAGGATATCAGTCGGCTGTGCAACCCTTGAAACACTTACTGGATTAAAAACGGTCCCACGCAGGAATCGGTCGCAGATCAGCGACTGTGTTCATCAGCCCCTGAGCGAATAAATACAGCATCAAAAATATTTACAGGACTTATTTCCTCGCCTTATATGGGAAGGATGTGAAGCACGCACACGCACGTACGCACCTTCCCCCACTCTTTCCCAGCTGCTTTTCACTTCCTCCACTCGCTATAGAACAAACAATTCCTTGGCAACCACACAACGCCACACAGGAACAGAGGATCCAAGATGGCCAATTAAAATGGTCCCCTGTGCTCACACCCACGCAGCAGGTGAATCTGCTAACTCATGGAAACTAACCATGTCCTCTGTTTGTGCACTGAGACACTCACACGAAGGGTCACGGACGCAACACACAATGCGTGGCGCCAAGCTTGGGGTTTTAAAATAATAACGAGTTGGTCACTCAGTCCACCACTGGGACACTGCTGTGTGCCATCGGCCGCCGCATTTCGCTTACAAAATACACAGTCAATTCACTACACTGGTTATTTTCACACTCATGTTCAAATCCCTTCACTCTCTGGCCCCTCCCTACCTCTCCGACCTCCTCACTCCCCCAATCCACCACCCGGCGTCTCCGCTCGACTGGCACCGGCCTCCTGCTCGTCCCTCGCACCCTCCGCCCCACCATCGGAGATCGCACTTTCAGCCACTACACCCCGAAACTCTGGAACACTCTCCCTCAATCCCACCTGAAAACCTTCCTCTTCGACTGTGCTTACGGCCACCTCCCCCACACCACCCCCCCCACCCCCGGCTTGGAATCAGGCTCCACCATTGATAAGCGCTCTAAGATGCTGCCCTGTATGGAGGACTCTATAGTTGTCGTTGCTGTTGTTGTAGTGAAACTTCTCAATGATGTGACAAGGTGATTTTATCAAATGCGAGGATTATAAAAGTCTGTGAATAATAATAAAATAGTAATAATCCTTGCGTTTGATACAGCGCCTTGCACATTGGTTGGACGTCTCAAAACACTTCACAGGATTTTACGGTTGAGTCCAGAAAACTATGTGTTTTGTAGGCGAATGCGGAGAGCCATGTCTGCACAGTGATATCTCACAAATGGTCATGAAGCGAATGAATGATTTTATTGTTGGTGCCAATGGGATGTTTCCCGTCCGCTTGAATAGGCAGATGGGAACTTGGTTCAACATCTCAACCAAGGTGAGGGGGCCACCACTATGCTATGGGACTCCATAAACCCTTTACGTTACAGGGACTATCATCAAATGCAAGGATTGCTCTTGTTTTATGGCAATAATTAAACTTCTCCAATTTTCTCTCCTCTTTTACTTAGCTTTGAGTTCCCTGCAGTAAGTGAATTGGTATCGTGGGCTAACTCCTTTGACACTCTGATGAAGACTCGGGTCGGGAGGAATACCTTCCAAGAATTCCTGCGCACTGAGCACAGCGAAGAGAATATGCTCTTCTGGCTGATCTGCGAGGACTTCAAAAAGGAAAAGGACATGAAGGTGGTTGAAGAAAGAGCGAAAACTATATATGAAGCCTATGTTTCCACATTATCCCCCAGAGAGGTGAGAGACCCAGTGCGGCCCAGCCAAAGTCACGGGTTGTTTGTGCAGGTGTTTGTTTACTAAAGGAAGATGATAACGGGATGTAATCATAGGAACATAGGAACAGGAGGATGCCATTCAGCCCCTCGAGCTTGTTCTGCCATTCTTTTAGATCATGGCTGATCTGTATCTCAACTCCAATTATCCACCTTTGCCCCATTTCCCTTGATACCCTGATCTGACAAATATCTATCCACCTCAGTCTTGAAAAAAATAATAATAATAATAATCCTTGCATTTGATAGAGCGCTTTTCACGTCTTCCAGAAAATATGAATATTTTCTTTTATAAAATATGAATGGATCCAATAGCCACAACCTTTTGGGGGAGAGACTTCAAGATTTCCACTACCCTTTGTCTGAAAAAATGCATCTTGATTTCACTCCTAAATGGCCTTGCTCTAATTTTAAAGTGCTGCCCCCTTGTTGTGGATTCCCCACCAGAGGAAATAGTTTCTATTTCTATGTATTATTATCATCATCATTACATTAGTATGTATTATCTCTTTACTATTTTAAACACCTCAATCAGATTACCCCTCAACTTTCTAAACTCAAGGGAATAGAGACCAAGTTTAAGCAAATTGTCCTCATAATTTAACCCTTTAAGCACCTGGTGTCATTCTAGTGAATCTGCCCGGCACCCTTCCAGGATCAATAATATGTCACTGATTAGTGCTCCCAGTGTTAATTATTATTGATAGCCATACATACTGAGAGGACTGGACATTGGTAGGACTGGACAGGGATAGGACAGGACATGGATGGGTGGAGGCTAGCAAGGACTGTGCTGATGGGGGTATGGACTTTGCTACAGTCCTGTAGTCGTGGAGTCCTGTAGCTCAGTGGTTAGAGCACTCGCTTTGCAAGCGAGAGACCTGAGTTCAATTCCAGGCAGAGGGCCAAACCTTGGGCAAGTTTCCTTACTCCACACAGAGCCTAATAATAATCCCTCCAAAACAAAAAACAATAATAAAATTGGTCATTTTCAATCTACGACTGTTTGTGGGACATTGCTGTGCGCAATTGGCTGCCGCGTTCGCCCACAAATATACAGTCAATTCACTTTACAGTCTATTCTGTGAAGCGCTTTGGGACGTCCTCCCGACGTGAAAAGCGCTATATCAAATGCAAGGATTATTATTATTATTATTATTACAGGTGAGAATACGGGTGGTGGAGCGTTGAATTAGTTTGATTTTGTGAATGGAGTTAGCTGGGGAAACCAGCAAGGAGAGCAATGGAATAATCAAGGTGGGAGATGATGAACGCGTGGATAATAGTTGTGGCATGGACCCTGCTCACTATTAACAGCACACGTCATTGATGGAGCTTATCATTCACAGTACAACAACAACAACAACAAGATTCCATTTATAGAGCGCCTTTCACGTCGGGAGGACGTCCCAAGGTGCTGGACAGTTGGGTCAGGACCCGAGCAGGGGGGAAATGGTCAGGGTGAGTGGAGGGAAGGGAGGGAGCGAGGAGGGGGAAGAGAGTCGAGAGGGCAGCTGAAGGCTCGGTCAAAGAGAAAGGTCTTGAGACTGGCCTTGAAGGAGGAAAGGGAGGAGGCAAGGAGAAGGCACTGGGGGATAGAGTTCCAGAGCCTCGGGGCTGAGAGGCTGAAGGCCCGACCACCGATGTCTGTTCACCATTTTCTCTTTGACTGTGCCTTCAGCTCCCCTCTCGACTCTCTTCCTCCTCCTCGCTCCCTCCCTGCCCTCCCCTCACCCTGACCATTTCCCCCCTGCTCGGGTCATGACCCAACTGTGCAGCGCCTTGGGACGTCCTCCTGACGTGAAAGGCGCTCTATAAATGGAATCTTGTTGTTGTTGTTGTTGTTGCTGATGTTCACCATTCACTGTGTTCACCATTGACTGTGTTCATCATTGAATGTATTCACCGTTGAATGTGTTCATAACCAGTTCTGAGTCTGACACTGGAGGCGAATTTCCTAACCAACTACACTTGTGTAGTAGTAATAGTGGTGCCACTACCACATCATTGTGGTGGTTGAATGAGATGTTCTATGCCTTGAGTTGGCTGTGCAGTAGCTTTTGAGTGTTGGGTTGATCAATGGGATTCCATATTCAGAACCAATAGTGCTCTTCTCTCTGTCCCTTTCTCTTCCCCTCTCCCCCTCTAGTTGCCCCGTCCCCTCTACCCCAACCCCCAATTAAATGACGTGATTGAGTTGCAATGGGGGGTTGGGTGGGGGAGATGGTTATATGTGGAATTGGCTCTCTGAGAGTCTAGGAAGTACAAAGAACTGACCAGTGGTTCCTTGTTGAAAGATCTCTCCAGCATCCACACTCAACATCCCGCCATTGCTCTCTCTGTGTTGCTAAATCACCTTATTTAAAAAAAACTGAAAAAAATATTGTTTTCCCTCCAGTAGGTGACAGTACATTTAATAATTCATGTCAAAGGTAATTTAAAAAAATTAATACACACATATATATACGGAAGATCTTTTTGTAGTTACCCCCTACCAACCTGTCCACTCTCTCTGCTCAGCGGGCTTCAGCCTGCTTCATGTCCCAAGCCTTGCATCCTCCACCTTCGCAGGCGAGCCTTCAGTCTTTCTGCCCCCACCCTCTGGGATTCCATCCCGCAGTCCTTTTGCCTTGCCCCCTCCCTTGCCTCCTCCAAGATCCTTCTCAAAACCCTCCTCTTTAACCGTGCCTTCGATCACCCTCCCACCCCTACCCTCCCTGCTCTCCACCGCTCCTGATCCCAACCACCAGCTCGCGTGTGGATTCCTGACTGTTCAGCGCCTTGGGACGTCCTCCTGACGTTAATGTGCTATGCAAATGTAAGTTGTTGTTGTTGTGTTCACCATTGACTGTGTGTTCACCGTTGACTGTGTTCTCCATTGACTGTTTGTTCACCATTGACTGTGTTTACCAGTGACTGTGTTCTCCATTAACTGTGTATTCACCAGCGACTGAGTTGACCATTGACTGTGTTCACCATTGACTGTGTTCATCATTGACTGTGTTCACCATTGACTGTGTTCACCATTGATGGTGTTCACCATTGACTGTGTTCACCATTGACTGTGTTCACCATTGACTGTGTTCACCATTGACTGTGTTCACCTTTGACGGTGTTCACCAGTGACTGTTCACCATTGATGGTGTTCACCATGGACAGTGCTCAATAATTAACAGTGCTCACCATTGTTAGATTTGCTCTGGACTCAGTTCTTCTCTTGTGCTCTCCATAGGTGAGCCTCGACTCTCACGCCCGGCTAGTTGTCCATAAGAACCTGCTGAAACCATCGCCGCAGATGTTCAATGAGGCACAGATTCAGATCTACTCCCTCATGCACAGGGATTCCTTTCCCAGGTTCCTGAACTCTGAGATGTACAAGACTCTAGTTCAAAAGAGGAAGCCTTCTATTGCAGCCACTGAGAACCCCTGCCCATCACTCCCAGAGGGAGAGGAGTCAGGGAACATGCCATTCCCACAGGGAGAAGATCCAGGCAACACATCACTCCCAGAGGGAGAGGAACTAGGGAGCACATCACTCACACAAGGAGGGAGCCAGAGAACACAAAATGACATCAAGATTCAGAGCAACGGAACGATTTAAAGACCCCCAAAAAACTCATTATAGAGCGAGGGTTTACTGATATGTCCAGCAGGACCTTCTCAGTTAGGAAAAAAACAGAGTTAAAATGTACTGATATAGATCCCCTATCACGTCGTCGTTGTCTCAAAGTGCTTTGCAGGATATTCTATAAAGTGGATTGACTGTGTATTTTGTGAGTGAAACCCGGCAGCCTATTGCGCACAGCAGTGTCCCACAAACAGTCATGGATTGAGTGACCAAATTATTTATTTTTGAACCGATTATTACTCACCGGAAAGCGATCCGCCAATTGACTAACAACCGGGTTCCTACTTACTGCAAGGTAAACAGAGGCGTGTGGAGTAAGCAAACTTGCCTAACGTTTCGCCCCGCCCGGGAATCAAACCCAGGTCCTCTCGCTTGTGAGGCGAGTGCTCTAACCAATACGCTATAGGAGTCCACAAACAATAACAATAAAAATTTACCGCATTTCATAATGCTTTAAAAATATTAAGGGACACGATGAGATGGTAGGGAAGTGGCGGTAACTTGTAAGCCAAGGAATGGTCCTTGGTGGCGCAGGGGGTAGCAAAGGGCTGAATTTCTTATGTACACATGGCAAAAGGACCAGAGGAGAGGCAAGGAGAAATGTATTTATCCAGAGTGTTGGTAAGATTCGGAATGCACTGCCTGAAAGAGTGGTGTAAGCAGTTTCAATAATAGCTTTCAAAAGGGTTCCTGAAGAGAAAACATTTGCAAGGCTACGGGGTAAGAACGGGGGATAGGGACTAGTTAATAGTTCTTTCAAAGAGCTGGCACAAACATGATAGGCTGAATGGCCTCCTTCTGTGCTGTAAGATTTCATGACATCCCCATAATAATAATAATAATACTTGCATTTGATATAGCACCTTACTATGTCGTTGAAATGTCTCAAAGTGCTTTACAGGATGAACTGTAAAGTGAATTGACTATGTATTTTGTTAGCGAAACTATGTGAAGTTTCACTTAGCAGAATTGATTGCAAGTTACATAGGCTAATACCACTTGTTGGTGATATCTTCAGCAACAGTTTAGTGCCATTTTCATATCTTCATTTCCAAGAACCGAAGGAACGTCTTCCTGCAGAGGGAAGTTTAGGAGGAACTTCTTCCTGTGGAGGAAGTGTCGAGAATGTGGCACTAAATACACAGTCACTAAAAAAAAAATCACTTTGCACAAAAAACTCCTGTGAAGCGCTTTGACAAATTTGGTCACTCAATCCACGACTGTTTGTGGGACACTGCTGTTCACAATTGGCTGCCGCGTCTCGCCCACAAAATGTGGAGTCCTGTAGCTCAGTGGTTAGAGCACTCGCCTTGCAAGCGAGACACCTGGGTTCAATTCCAGGCAGAGGGCGAAACCTTGGGCAAGTTTCCATACCCCACACACCTAATAATAATCTCTCCACAACAAAACAATAATAAATTGGTCATTTTCAATCCACGACTGTTTGTGGGACACTGCTGTGCGCAATTGGCTGCCGCGTTCGCCCACAAATATACAGTCAATTCACTTTACAGCATATTCTGTGAAGCGCTTTGAGACGTCGAGAAGATGTGAAAAGCGCTCTATCAAATGCAAGGATTATTATTATTTTTATAGAACAGCTTCAAGGTATGGAAGCAGAGATTTATTCATACCTGACGGGGAAAGGAATAGAAGGGTAAAGAAGGGGAATAGGAAGGGTGGGGGCTTGTGTGGAGTATAAACACTGGTTGGACTGAACCGCCTGTTTCAATGCCACATCACTGTATAAAAGCTGGCGATATAAAGTGGTCGTCAGCGAGAACAAGTCAAAGGTCTCCAAGAAGGCAACTCACAGGGAAAAACGGCTTCAACATTAAAGCCGTGTTTGAGGAATTCTAAAATATGTCAAATCTGCGTTCTCAGGTGGTGGACAGGAACAGAGAAGGGAGTTTCTATTCTCCCTCTGTGTCCTGACCGACAATCCCCCAGATAAAATCGACCATTCACTTCCCAGCTGTTTGTGGGACATCCCTACGTGCAAATTGGCTGCTTCGTTGGCCTATGAAATACACAGTCACTAAAAAAAAGTCACTTTGCACAAAAAAATCCTGTGAAGCGCTTTGACAAATTTGGTCACTCAATCCACGACTGTTTGTGGGACTCTCTGTTCACAATTGGCTGCCGCGTCTCGCCCGCAAATATACAGTTAATTCACTTTAGAATCTATTCTTTGAAGTGTTTTGAGATGTCTAAAAGACGTGAAAGAGCGCTATATCAAATACAAGGATTATGATATTATTTGCTATTGCGCCTTGTCAAAATGGGTCAAAGCGTTTCACAGGATTTCACCTTAAAGTGGTGTGACTGTGTATTGTATGGATGATAGATGACATGACAGCCAATTTGCACACAGTAACATCCCCACAAACAGTCATGAAGTGAGTGACCCATTTTATGAGGGGGATTGTTGGACAGGACACGGTGAGAGAGAAACTCCCTTCTCTTTTCCGGTTGTGGTGCAGGATTTTTAATGTACATCTGAACAAGCAGTCGGGACAGTGATGAAACATTTCATCGAAGGATGGATTACAAGGAATGGGATGTGCAATGAAAAAATTTCACCCTGATATCAACAGCAACAACAACAAAATTACACTTATAGAGCGCCTTTCATGTCGGTAGGACGTCCCAAAGCGCTGAACAGTCAGATGTCGGGGCCCGAGCATTGGGGAGGGGTGGTGTAGGGGTGAGGGAAGGCAAAGAGGTGAAGGGAGACCAAAGGCACGGTCGAAGCGAAGGGTCTTGAGACCGGGCTTGAAGGAGGCGAGGGAGGATGTGAGGCGAAGGGACCGTGGGATGGAGTTCCAGAGTGTGGGGGCAGAGAGGCTGAAAGCACAGCCACCGATGGTAGGGCGGATCGGGCGGGAGACATGGAGCAGACCGGAGCCCGATGAACGGAGGGAGCGGGCAGGTTGGTAGGGAGTCAGCAGGTCAGAGAGGTAGGAGGGGGCAAATCCATGGATGGCCTTAAAGGTGAGGACGAGGAGGGAGATAATATAAAGACAGATAAAGTTCATTTTCTACCTTAAAGCAAAACATGTCTCATGTAGAAGATTCCGAGGTTCAGCAGTGATCCAAACCAAAAATTGTCATTTTAATAAAAATATTATAGGTTTTTAACAATGCCGACAAGGACAAAATGAAGATGCAAAAATACTTTGTGAAAGAGAGAGAGGGGGATGAGAGAGAGTGGGGTGGGAGAGAGAGCGAGCGATAGAGATGAATACAGAAAGGCACAATGGACATAGAAAGAGATAGGCAAAGGAAATGGGGAGAGAGAAACGGAGAGAAAGTGAAACAGATACAAAGGGCAGAGACACAGCCAGACCTAGTAAAGAGAAAAGAGGAGAGGGAAAGGGGAGAGAGGGGGAGAAACAGAGAGGAAGAGAGTCAGAGAAAGAGAGACAGACAAAAAACAAGAGAAAGAAAAGACAGAGAGGGAGAGAAAGAGAGAAAAATAGGGTATAGAGGGACAGATTTATTTATTTAGTTCTATGCAAAAAATAATTACTAAATGTGTACTTGATATATAAAGGTGTTTGCTATTGAACATCTGTATGTAAATTTTCACACAAGACTTTCAAGAAAACATATTAAATAAATGTGTATATAATATATATAGAGAGCGATGTACAATACAATAAAAATTTACGTTTAACAAGAAGTTATATTTGTATGGGGTCTTTCACGTCGGGAAGACGTCCCAAAGTGCTCCCACCCTTCAGAACTCCATCCCATAGTCCCTTCCCCTCGCCCCCTCCCTTGTCTCCTTCACCCTTCTCAAGACCGTCCTCTTCGGCCGTGCCTTTGGCCACCTTCCTAACAGCAGCCCTCCTGATCCCAACCCGCAGCTCGAGTCCAAATCCATGAAAGTCCAGTACCTTGTGAAGTCCTCCCAACATGAAAGACACTGTATAAATGTTGTGTGTGTTGTTGTTGTTGGAAAGACTGTCAAGTGTAAGAGGAACAACAGCAAAATTACATGCGTATAGCACCTTTCACGTCGTGAGGACATACCAAGGCGCTGGATAGTATTTTGAAAAGGAAAGTGACGGACCTCCCTTCACATTCATGTCACCAGTCACAGCAGCCTGAGGTCCACATTGTACCACAGTGTGACCCTCTTCGAGTTCAGTGTTAAAAACGCCTTAAATTTGATATAGAACAAACGAACAGAATGTATGCGTACGTTGCTGTTCTAATTCCACGGTACCTTCGTCTTCCTAGTTACATACTTTAGATTTATGGCTGCCCTCATCATTTCCCCATCAAGCTGTTTCTTCGCACTAATTCTCATTTTATTGGCAAGCTGTGCAGTTTTTGCTGACTCAAGCAGTGCGCCAACACACACTTTGGGATCTCCAAGCCTTGGCTCTTGCCAACTTGCGCTTAATACTTTCTGGAATTAGGTCAGCAGGATGCATCCCTCCAGGTCAAGAGTGCCCATTCCTTTCCAGTAATCTATCTCCGGGATTTCCATGCGTAGGTGGGATGCTTGGACTTCTCAGTTTGGCTTGGATATTCTTAAGCACGGTGATGGGTTTCCGCACAGCTTTGGCCACCCTCCTACCTTACCCTCCCTGCCCTCCACCCACCCTAATCCCAACACTCAACTCGGGTCCAAATCCCTGACTGTCCAGTGCCTTGGGGAGTCCTCTTGACATGAAAGGCGCTGTACAATAATATAATTTTGTATTGTATCACTCTGTTCTCATCGCTGTATGTTCTCCTCACTCTCCATTCTCCTTGCTCTCCATACTTAATCATTCTCGGATCTTCATCCATTTCCAGTTGTTTCTTTTTCTTGCAGAACCTACAGGATTTCGGTTTGGAACTTAACGATATCTACACGGTAAGAACCTCCGGGGTAAACCGGCGACGTTTCTTCACTCCACCCTTGTGTTGATCAGCACATCGCATCAAGCGAGTCCGCCAACTGCACAATCTCACCAGCAAAAAAAAAAGGAAGCATTTCAATTCTATCTGAATGCTCTGGAGAATATACGCCACACATCATGGATGGCTTCCAACATGTCGAATTAGCACAACTCCATCCTTGTATTAAT